TTATGGGTTCTCATTCTCAACCTGGGATCATTGGAAGAAATTGAAATGAAGGCGAGGTACTTGAGCAGTTTCCTAGAGCAGGTTGCATTTACTGGGAAAAGAGGTGAGAAAGGGAGAAATAAAATCTTCACATTTGAATTGAAATTGAGTTTCGATTGTCCCAGGCAATGTCTTGATTAAAATGCAAAAGTACAATCATAAAAACTCACATTTAACTTTCTTTATGCCAAGACTGAAAGTGCTAGAATGACTGTTAGTCGGCACAACCGACCTCTTCAGGACAGTCTAAAGAACCACCTATTAGAACCAACTTCAGGCAGTCACACAATAGAATTATGTTTTAATAACAATACTTCTGCAAAAAAAAAATAGATAATCCACATAACGGTGCTGTATTTACATGAGTATTGTCACAGGAACATGAAAACATCATTGTACCCCATCTGTGCCATCATGAAACATCAGTATGAGCAGCAGGAATGCTTTGGACCTGTGCCTGTAAATTTCCATATCGTACATAACTAACCTAACCTCAAAGGAGAAATGGGCATAGACAACACAGATCACCAGTTTAAACCCCACATCATTCTTCACAAGAGAAATATTCTCAAAAGATTTACCTTCTTCCTGAGTGGTTCACACTAGGGTTGATTCTCCAGGTGCTGCTCCCTCTAGAACATTGGCTGGGCGGCTATTTTGAGTGTGAGCCCAATCAGTAAGAACAAACTGCCTATTTAGCAAAGGAGTGCATCACTCTGAACCCAAGCCTATCCTTGCTCAAAATGGACATTTTTCATCAGGGATCCTTGGAAAGAACTGACCATTTTATTTCTTCCTATGTTCTCCAAGCCAGGGAAACTAGGCCCAGCTCTGTTAATTTAGCCCAATAATGCAGTGTGGTGTGGTTTGTCTGGTCAGTTGTAGAGAGTGTTAATGTTTTAAAATCCTCTGACTGAAATTCTAGCCAGGTAAGATTTGAATTTCTTTTGTATAGATGAATAGTAGCACCCATCCTGAATGCAGCCTTGAAGCAGATTGTGAAGTAAGGGGCTGCAGAGAATCCTATTCTGCTTTTTTTAAAATTTAATGATGGATTAGACTGATAAGTTCAGTGCAGAACTTCCTTTCTCAAAATTTTAAAATAGTCTCCCTTGCACAATTGAATCCACACGAACTTCAAACAGTGCAACTCTAGCAGTAAAGCTGGTTATTCTGTCAAATCTATGTGCATACTGTAGTCATATTTAGGTGTGCACCTTGTTCATAAAAATAGACTTCCACACAATTATTTTTCCTGCCCCATCTATGGGTAATCGATATATTTTCAATTTTTGTCAAATGCTATACACTTCTAGTACTTATCTGGGAATGCCTTCCTTTCTGCTATTGATCTGACCTGTTTAAACGCATCAAAAATTCTGAAATTCCCTCCCTCATGATGTTGTGCATTCATCTACAGCACGTAGACTGCAATGGTTCAAGAAGGCAGCTTACTATCACCTTCTCAAGAGCAATGTATGCTGGCCTAGCCAGCGATGCCCACATCTCAAGTGAATAAAAAGAAAGTTAACATTTGATCAGTAGAAGTTCTTGGATCAATCATCTGATTTTGAGGAATTCATTCTGTTGCAAACTCTCATAGCTCTAATAAAAACCAAGAGAACTGCAGGTGCTGTAAATCAGAAACAAAAAACAGAAATTGCTGGAAAAGCACAGCAGGTCTGACAGTATCTGTGAAGAGAAATCAGAGTTAACGTTTCAGGTCTGGTGACCTTTCCTCAGAACTTCCTCCAGTTCTTAGGAAGGGTCACCAAACCCAAAACGTTAACTCTGATTTCTCTTCACAAAAACTGTCAGACCTGCTGAGCTTTTCCAGCAATTTCTATCTGTGTGTCATAACAATAAAGTTAGCAGCATTTGTTGAATGTTGGTGCTTCAGAAGATTTCTTTGTGAGCCAAGATAACTTGTAGAAGTTCCATTAGAAAAGCAAGCTGATTATTTAATTAGAACAATAATTGTTTGAATTTTTTTTTGCTATTAGGTTGAATGGGCATCCAGTTTAGAGTTAGTCAGTTACATCTTGGGTTTATTTTAAGATTAAACTTCCTTTTTGGATTACTTTCCTTTCCCATAACTGGTAACTGTTAATGTTCTGCATCTGTCTCTGTTCAAAGAGGGAGTGCTGCTAGTTGTTGGAAAATGAAAAAGAATGACCTCAAGTTTAACCAATGATCTCTTGCTTTCGTCTCTGTTGGGAAGTGCTTACTTCTCCTTTGAAACTTGCATGGGTTAGGTTAGTAACGTTATTTGGGAATTTGCAGGCACAAATCCAAAGCACCCCTGCTACTTATAACCTAAAAATATTTCTCTTCCTATATGTATTAGTGCAATAGGGGCTTTTGGTGCCTAGTATCAGTCTTAAAACATGAGGACTGATAGTAATTGTTTGGTCTCATTATTCACTGTTAATCATTCTGATAAGTGCTTTGTTAAAATGAGTGACTTTATTTATAAGCAAAGAAGAAAAACTTAGGTTTTTCAGGTTGGGCACAAATTGATTTAGATATCATACATGGCAGTTAAAAAGAAAGTTTATAGCAATGAGAAGACAGTTGCTTTAAGGTATGATTTTTTATTAAAGTTCATTACAGTTTAGATGACAGTTTACTCAAATAATTGCTAAATTAGAGTATCTGTATTTAAGTTAACATCTCAATTGGAAAAATATCAATTTTCTCAAGTGTTTCAATGAAGTGTATTAAATTAATTTCCAATATGTTTTTAATATTCACAAAATAAGCTAGAAATACCAGTTTTTTGGTCACAAGTATAACAGGTCTCAAGACTGTAACATTTCTGTTTCTTCAGTGTGTAGAGCACAGTATTTATGCAAGTAATTCAAATATTGCAGGAACAGAATATTTTTCCAAGGAGGGAAGTACACTCACCACAAAATTGCAACACTGGCTCCTGTAATTTTCCATGGCTGCACTTTCCTTAGCTGTTGACTTTGTTTGATACCTTTCAAGATATTTTATTGACTACTCCTACAGAGCTAGCCATCTCAGCTAAAGCAAGACTTCATTGCAGCTGTTGTCTCTCCACCTATTACCTCTCACTCTAGGCAAAATTTTAATTCCCAACTCTTGTAAAACTATCAGGGTTTGGATCAAGAACCAACTAGCAGCAGAATCCAGAAGGAAATTTTTAAGCAAGTAGCCAATTAAGTGGCTGTTCAGAACTGTGGGTGTGCTCCCAAGACTGGGAGCCAAACAAAAAAAAAGGCCTCCAGCAATGAAAGGTTTGAACTATCTGTACTATACCATCATTGATTTACATTGAAGCTCTGAAGAATTTTCACAGTTTAATAAATAAAGATGTCCACAATTGGAAGGGGGAAGCCTCTCCATAGGCAGAGTTGAGGCCACAACTTTAGCACTCTAGTACCAGCAGCAATGGGAGTGGGAAGGGGGTCATTAAATTGATGGCCCATCATTGAATGCATCCATTTACTGGCTGGACTTCAGCCTCAATGGGACACTATTCACTGTTCTCAACAGCCAATTAGGCCAATTAAATCAGTTACCAATTTCTGGTAGGGGTGTGGCTGTTATCCTCATCCCCACAACACCCCCACCAATACAGCCTCCCCCAAAATAACCTATAAGCAAAACGATAGCATCAAATCGATTAAGCTGGCCATTAGTAGGAAATATTGGCACACTCCCCTCCAAGCCTTTCTTGCATATCTCCTGAAATGGCTTTCACTCCTGAGAACTGGAGGGCTGGTACTTCTTTCAGGAATGTGCCTTCTGTTAGCAGATTAAGAAAATGATTGCAGATATGTTCACATCTACTGTTCACTTCTTAAAAAATTAAAAGCCAGGTGATAGGAAAGAGATGTAACAGTCTAAATTTTGAGTGTGAGGAGATGGAGAACAAGAGAAGTAAAGGTGGAAATATTTGTGTGACTCCAGTATAAAATGTTCCGCTAAGCTTTGGCATATGTAGAAGATTTAAAGCAGAGGGAGTTCTGATATCTACAAAGTCAACCTCACGTGCAACCCCACTCCCCCAAAAAAACCCTGATTAGTGAGGTAGGACATGTCATTGGACTATAATCCAGAGCTCTAGGCTAATGTTCTGGAGACATTGCTTTAAGTGTCAACATTGTAAATGGTGAAATTTGAATTAAATAAAATCTTGAATTTAAAGCTGGTCTAATGGTGACCATCACCAGTAAACAGGGGAAAGAAAACCCATTTGGTTCTTTCATATCCTTTACGGAAAGAAATCTGCCAGCCTTACCTGGTCTGGCCTTTATGTGACTGCAGATCCATTTGAATATTTGACAGCAGCTAACTGCTGGAAGATGAAGAAGAATGGCCTCGAGTTTAACCAATGGTCTCTTACTTTGTCTCTGTTGGGCAGTACCTACTTCTCCTTTGGAACTTGCATGGGTTAGGTTAGTAACACTATTTGGGAATTTGCAGGCACAAACCAAAGCACCCCTGCTACTTATAGCCTAAGAATATTTTGGTTCCTATGTGCATTATTGCAATATGGGCTTTTGGTGCCTAGTATCAGACTTAAAACATTAGAGGTCTGATAATTTGAAGATAATTGATAGTAATTGTTTGGTCTCATTATTCACTATTAATCATTCTGATAAGTGTTTTGTTAAAATGAGGCTGAATAACAAATGAGTGACTTTATTTATAAGCAAAGAAGAAAAACTTGGGTTTTTCAGGTTGGGCACAAATTGATTTAGATGTCATACATGGCAGTAAAAAAAAATCAAATTTATAGCAATGAGAAGGCATTTGCTTTAAGGTATGATTTTTATTAAAGTTCATCAAGGTATAGAAGAAGGTTTACTCAAATAATTGCTAAGTTAGAGTATTTATTTGAGTTAACAGCTCTTAATTGGAGTAAAAAAAATTTAAATTTTCTCCAAGTGTTTACTTCTGTTTTCTGAAATTGCCTAGCAAGTCATTTAAATCATGGACAACAATGGATGAGCAACAAATGCTGGCCTTGTCAAGAATACCCTCATCCCATAGAAGAATAAAAGAAAATTGGAGGACATGGTCCTTCATCTTTAGTGTTGTTTGCAGCATCTTGTTGTGCACAAAATGCTGTTATGTTTGGCAAAGAACCATTTAAAGTGCTTTAAGATAACTTGCTGAATATTAAGGGTGAGTCAGCTTACCTCTTCTCAACCTTCTAAGTTGACCACAGTGAAGAATTATAACAAACTTTTGTTTCTCTGTCCACAGGCTGTCAGACTTTGAGTTTCTCCAATATTTACTCTCTTCACTTATGAATATATATTCTTTTTTCAGTATGAGGCTGAAACTCTTTCCACTTTAAAACTAATTTCTAACAGTAAGGAGATGATTGTCAGGCTAGCTTAAGTAAAAGAGAAAGCAATTTTATTATTTCTTTTACTCATTTTGTGGGATATGAGTGTAATTGATTAGCTAGCATTTATTGCCAGTCCCTAGTTGCCTTGGAAAGGCAGTGATGGATCTGCCTTCTTAAACCACTGCAATCCACCTGCTGTGGGTTGACCCATTATGCCCTAAGGGAGAGAATTCCAGGATTTTGACCCAATGACAATAAAGGAACTACAATATGTTTTCAAGTCAGGATGGTGAGTGGCTTGGAGGGGAACTTGCAGTTGGTGGTATTCCCATGTATCTGCTAGAAGTGGTTGTGGGTCTAGAAGGTGCTGTCTGAAGATCTTTGAATTTCTGCAGTGGACTTGTAGGTAGTACACACTGCTGCTACTGAATATTGCTGGTGGAGGGAGTGGATGCTTGTGGAAAATTTACTAATCCTGACAAAAAAATAAAGATGAAACATCAAACATTCACACAGGTACAAAGTTAAAAACCAATATTGTCCAGCACAAAATGAAGGTGGAAGGAATGTACAGTTTAAAACCCTTAGGGTGTCTTTGAGGTATAAGGTATTAATATGGACCAAGGTTGTTTAGTTGGTGACTTGACCATCAGCAGTAGCAAAAATTGCAGTTGTTCTTTGACTTCTGTATTCTGATGTTTCATTTTAACCTGTCCTATGACTAGTGCTTTTCCTTTTTTGAGAGTTTTCTCTAGCTTCAGTTTTACTGTCACAATCTCTCTTCTGCCACAAGTAGCTCCTCGAAATTCATGCTGCATGCCTTGTGTATTTCATCTGCAGAAGTTGTTTCTTTTAAGTTTGCTAATTGCAGGTGGGGCTCTATCTCCAAAAATGTGAAAATTTCGAGAGGTGTATTTCAAGATAGGAGATTCAGCACCTATTTTCACACCTGACTGAGTTGACTGGTTTTGGTGCTGCTTTGATAAAATGTTAATTTTGATTCAGACTGATATAATTTTAATTTACATTGATTTCATGAAACTTAGTTAAGTTTATGTGGTTAAGTAATTGCTATGGCCATCTTTAGCCTGCGATTTTGACCCTTAATTGAATCTGATTTCAGTTCATGAAAACTCTGGACAATGGAATTGAAAAATCAGTAATCTTTACTTTACTTTATTAATGTCAAGACAATATGGAGATGTTTATGAATTGTAGGCTTAAATATCTGCCTTTCGTCAAGCTTCGGCAATCTGGATAGTCTTAATTCACACAAAGCTATAGGTTGACGCTCGATTCTGAAGTAAAGGTCATTGATTGACATAACCTGTTGGAAATTTAATGATCATTTTATCCTTGGATTGGTGCTTTTGTTTAATTAATTTACAATTTTATTGAACTGTATTAAAAATTCATTGAACTTAAAAACCTGGATCGTAGAATCGAATGCAGTAAAAATTTTGCAGTCTTATAAAACATTACATGTTCGGCTTGCTTGAAGCTCGCAGACCGGCTCTGCCAAGCTCTGATTTAAAGAAAAAATATCCCTTCAGCTGTTAATGTTGCAGTTATGTCACTGGAATGCCTGTGGCTACATTATGTACACTAAATTGCCCGATTGTGGCTGCCCTGAACCTGTATAGTTAAAATTGTGCTTCTGTTCCTGGGGCCCGTGAACCTGTGTAGTCAAATTGTGTGCAGCTGTCACGTGTCTTCTGAAGGATGTAGCTCAATTAATGCCCAGGCACAGATTAATCCTGGGCTCTAATTCACCGCCTCTATCGCTGAAACTCATCAGGATAGGCCAAGTGGGAATTATGGTTTAGCTATTAACAAAACCATCGAGGGGATTTCCGTGAGATGAGGTTTGCTTATTTTTAAAACATTTTTCAGTTTGACATCTTTCAATCCCAGTCCAGTTCTGTTAATGCACTATTCTTGAGGTTTACAGTATGTGTGGTGCCTACAAGGGCTTGAGGGTGTTGAGCTGTGAAGGTTCGCAGTGACCTTTTTAATTGTATGTATGAGGCTTTCTGTAATGCTTGGGCCGTTTTCTTCTCTCTGCAGTGCATGAAGATTTGAAGCTCAGTAACGGTGCAGATAATTCAAGGTCTTTTCGTTGTATCGAAGATGTCAGGCTCATACGACGAATCCAGTGGGTTAGAGGAAACGACTGATAGTTTCTGGGAGGTACTGCAACTTTCTTGCTACACTTTGGAAGATAAGAATATTGCAAGATAATTACTTAAGCTACGTCTGAGTTATTTTAAAATAAATTTTGCAATAGTTTTCTCGTTATAAACAGGCTTAGTAAATTGCAGTCTGATAAAGGGTTAATAGGTTTTGATGCTTTAGTGTACATGGTTGAATGCTGTTATTCATCAGGAATTGTGATGTGTTAGAACAGTATGTGTGCATTGCAGAAAATGTGCTGCAGCCTTGCTTAAATGATTAATGAAACCACGAATGATATTGCGTTGCTGTTTCAGGTGAATGAGTGAGAACCTGCTAGCCACTATCTGCTCACGACATTATTCGGTATTTAACTATGTATGTGTATGGTCTGAGTATAATATATGCATACTTAAAGCCACTTCAGACTGAAAGTCGTGGCTTAAACTGTTAATTTATGTTTTAAATTATTCATTAAGAAAATGTGCTTGGTAAATGCTTGCATGCAATAGATTTTATCAGAACGTATTAAAAAAATACATTAGAAGGATGAATAAATTTGGAATGTGGTGACTTCCTAAAAAGCACAACTGCTTGCTTTATTTCCCCTCTTTAAGGTGCTGACCTTTTGCAGAGAGATCCTCTGCGGTTTGCAACCCTCCAGAGTCTTACTCAAGTGGCTATTCTGTGTGAGTCTAGAGACTGGGCATCAATAAGCCATTTAATCTGTACCGAGACAATCTCTGCTGAGCCAAATTCTCTCTGTCCTTGCTGTATTTACCCAGTGTCATTGGGTAACCGTCAGGAGGAAGGGAGAACCCTGCTGGTGTGCTTTATTCTCTTCCCGCTTCCAACCAGCCTAAAAATATTAAGGGTTCTTTTAGCACTTTGAATGACATACTGGTTAGATGTTGAACGAATGAACTTTTATATCTATTAGTACTGTGACAGATTTAACAATAGGATGAAAATGCCATCCAAGGAGTTTGGTGCGTTATTAATGCAGGTACTTTCTATACGTTCACATTTTCCAGATTTCCACAATCCATATTCTATCCCAAGGTAGCGTTGCTTTATTGACAGATTTCCACCAGGACTGTTCGTAATTTTATCAATCAGTCATGTCTTGAATGACCCATCCTTGTAGATAATGCTAGATCTTCTTTTCATCCCTGTGGGAGACTACTCACCCTGTGCTTTCCCTGCTGCTACTGTCATGGTTTGAGAGGCAGGGGTTATACACTTCAGGTGGCATTGCCTTTTTACTCAGTTCAACTACAAGTTTTCAGCCTCCTGTTCAAATGTTTTAACATAACCGTAGGCGGGACTGGGCAACAGATTTTTTTTTCAAAAGATATTAAGAGGACTAAAGCATTCAGAATCCAAGAACGGTTCCAGTCACATTTTAAAACTGGCTTGAGTGTAATTAGGAGTAATTCAATCAATCTGGCCTTTCCTATTCAATATTAGCTGGGGAAAATGAAAGCAATTTATTTAAGTCAAAAATAAATTACTTGTAATTTCAGTTCCTATAAATGAAGAATAATCCATTCCTAGATAGTAGGAACTGCAGATGCTGGAGAATCCGAGACAACAAGGTGC